CAGTGCTGGGCTTCTGAACAGGAAGCCAGGCAGGCAAACCCAGCCCCAGAGAAGGAAAATAAACTCTGGACACATATTTTTAGAAAGTGGCCAAGCCCTGCAGCTCAGTTCTCCGTGGAACAGAATCTAAAAGCAGTTGGCCGTGTCTCTAAGCAGGAACCAGGACCCACAGGCTGCACGCTGGATGGGGGCCTCTGCGGAATACCAGAGTGCTCTATCCTGCCTCAGCCCAGGCTCCAGGGCAGTGAGGGGCTTCCCTGCTGTCATGGTGGTGTGGGCAATAGCTGTGGTGATGGAGGTGTGAGCCAGTCATGTGCTAACCCTATGATCTCACAAAGGCCCCTCGATGACCCTGAGAACTAAGTAAGGCTCATCCCCGTCAACCTCCCTGAGGCTCCCAAAGTAAGCAGTCACAGACTGGGGACTCAGAGGCAGGTGACCATGTGGGTGGAAGCCCTTTCTTTGCCCTCCAACAGTTTAAGGCTACACAGTTCACGCCAGCCCTCGGTCCTTTTAGACCCTCTCCATGCCGAGGTTCAAGGTGCTCGGCCTTTAGATTCATCTTTCCTCTTCACTAGCACATTGTAGGGTACCATGTGGGATCTGAAATCCAGGGGCCAAGATTTTGAGATCATATGGGACGGATTTGTTTTTGTAAAGTCTCATGTAGCTCAGGCTGGCCTCAGAGTCACTATTTATCCCAGGATCGCCTTGAACTCCTGATCCTTCTGCCTCCACCTCCCAAGTGCTGGGATTGCAGAGGTGGGCTCACACCCCTGGCTGGTTCTCATTTTCAGAAATAGCAAATCATTCCTAGAATTAAGATTGTAAAGCCAGGTGGTAGTGGCGCACACCTTTAATCCCAGTACTCAGGAGGCAGATCTCTGTGAGTTCAAGGCCAGCCTGGTCTACAGAGAGAGTTCCGGGACAGCCTCCAAAGCTACAGAGAAACCCTGTCTCGGAAAAAAAGCAAAAAAGAAAGAAAGAAAGAAAGAAAGAAAAAAGACTGTAGGAGGTGGATGGCTGAACTGGGGGGAGAAAAAACTTAAAGGAAATGGTGAGGTGTTTTTTTTACAACCTGGCCTAAAGGCACAGAAGGTAGTCATTGCCAGAAAAAATTACAAAAATAGCAGCAAGCTCAGGCGAAGGGTAGAGCCTCCCAAGGCAGGAAACACTGTATTCTTTGATGCAGGCACATCCCAGAAAAATGGGGTATAAATGCCAGCAATGCCAGTTACAGACATTGGCAGAGCTGTCATAATTTGTGCCAAGATGGTTAAAGGGGCCAGAATTTGCACAGTGGCCGTATCATAAAGGGAATGGGGCTGGACACATGGGGACCATGTACCTTCTCATCCTTGCTCTCTTGGAACCTGCAGCCCTGGCTAGAGCCCCACGCTGAGGCCTACTGGTCCTTCCAGTAACTGCTGTGACTTCCAAGGACTATGGTGGGCAGCTGCTCAACACTTGCCCCAAAGTTCCCATCTAGGTGGTTAGGAGCGCCTGTGCAGAGGGTAATTCTGGCTTTCAAATCAAGTCCTGGGGGAAGGGATGGAAACAGGAAACAAAGGCCTTGCCTTGAAGGGTTCTTCCAAATCAGAGGTCAGAGGCCCTGCCCTTGCTGCAGGGTCTTGCACGAGGCCTCTCCTCTCCCTAAAGACTCCCTAGGCCCAGATTCAAGATGACCCTAGCTCATCTTATTCAAAATGAAAAGACCCCTGGTCTGCTAGTAGGAGGAACACAACTCCAAGTCTGGCAGAGAGCAGGAAGTGACTCCAGGGAGATGAGACGAGTTCTGTAGAGAGACACCAGATGGGATGCACCCCTCTTGATGACCTGCGGATGTGTCCCTGTAACCCAAGCTACTGCAGAGACTGAGGCAGGGGGATAAGGAGTGTGAGATCAGCCTTGGCTACCCTGTCTCAATAAACCAAAATAATATTAAATAATAATAATAATATTAATTAATAATAATATTAAATAATATTCTTTAGTTATGGACTCGCTCCCACCGATTGTTTGACTTCATACACATTTTAATTCTACTCTATTGGAGTGAATGGAGAATCCAGGTGTGTGGCACACACCTGTCATCCCAGCATTCTGGAGGAGCAGGTAGGAAGACTGGAAGTTTGAGGAAGCCCATGGGTGGTGGTGGCTTGCTGGGGGGAAGAGTGCTTGTTGCTCATGCATTAGGATCTGAGTTCAAATCCTCAGAACTCACATAAAAAGTCAATCATGGTTTCATGTGTCTGTTACACCAGCACTGGGAACTGGGGACAGACAGGATTCATGGGGCTTGTTGGCTAACCAGTCTAGCTGGAAACAGTAAGCTCCAAGTTCAGTGAGACATCCAGACCCTGTCTCAAGGGAATAAAGTGGATAAGGGTGATAGGAGAAGACAGCTGATATCTTCCTTCACCACCCCAGGTGCATACAAACACATACAGTACACACACATACACACAGAGAGACATACATACAGACACACACACTCACACACACTCACACACACACACACACACACACAGGAGTACACTGAAAAATAACCTTACAGATAAACACACACATACAGACACGCACACTCACATACATACACACACACAGGAATACACTGAAAAGCAACCTTATAGAAAGCTTCAGAAACATATAGATATGAATGTAAAAGAATATGGCTAAGTTCATAATGTAAGCATTGCAGCTCTGATGGAAAGGTATCCTGGCAGTCAGGAGCCAAGGAATACCCACGAAGTCACACCGCACAACAAACCTCACACAAGAGATTTACTGGGAGGGAAAAAACCATGGAGGGTGGCTGCCTCTGCTCGGGTGAAAAACAGCAGAAAACTGATCAGAATACAGAATTTATACCGAGTTTCTTGGGGGGGGGGACTTTTCAGAGTGGGGCTTTCCATGGTGGAGATTGTGAGATTTCATGTCCAGAGATTGGGCTTTCTACTCTGTAGGGTGGGGGCAGAGCCCAGCAGTTAGAGTATCCTTGGTTGGAACCTCAAAGTTGGAGGTCCTCTGGGGAATGGAATCTGGCTCAAGGGGCTTACATATAAGACAAGAGATAGGCAGGAGGTACTCCAGTTAATACAGAGTTCTGGTCTCCACAAGCCCTTTTTCATTCTGCCTCACAAGGCAGAGGCCATCTTCCCCAAACTCAAATGCTCACACCAAACAAGCAGACAACAAACCAATTAACTAAATGGACAAAGTCTACCTAGTTTTTCGGGCCAGGAAACTGTTGGGCAATAGAATGAGATGGAAGCTGAAGAGATCTTTGAAATTTGCTGTCACAGCAACCTGCAAACAACCTGATTTCAGATGTACCAAGGGCTTATGTCCTTCCCAAAGGCCAGAGACCTAAAGGCATCATTAGTAAGAAGGTCAGGACTCTAGCTGTGTGTGGCAATACTCAAGGCCTATATACTCACCTAATGAGCACCAATCAGAGATGCCAAGGGCTGAAGTCAGCCTGGTTGCTCTAGAAGAGTGTACACATCCACACATGTGCTTGCACACACAGAGACACAAGTCAGCTCTCCTTGTTCATTCAGCCTCGCCCTTTGAAACTATTCCCAGAATTTTGGCAGCTTTGTTGCACATGCACATACTCTGAAGTTAGAGTTTATGAAGTATGACCTGTTTGTGTGAACCTGTCATAGGTTCCATTAGGTTCAGCTTCCAACTGTGAATTTTCACCCATGACTAGAGCAGGAAGGGTATAGCCTGCCTCCATAGCTGGCGGTGGGGATTGGCGCCCTGACCCTAAGAGTGGCTAGTCTATAGCTTGGAGTTTCCCCTTCGGCCCCAGTGAGGAAATAGACGGCTCTGAGAATGTTGAGTTTGAGGACCTATATTAAGCATACATGAAGACCCCTCCTAACTTGCCTTGGTCTAGATCCCAGGATACCTTAAAGCAATAGGGCCTCATGGCAGACCACTAGGCACTGGTCAGAGATGTCTGAGACACATGACACCTGAGCTGCTGTCTTCCTCTAGGCTGGAAAATATCTGATGCTTCACTCGGACTTTTCTGGAAGTCCTCATTATACCTCCTTCCTCCTTTAATAGTTGCACAACAGAAAGTTCACATAGTTCAGAAGGCAAGGAGGAAGACTAAAGGAAATAGTTTCTGATCCAGGGGGTTGTTTGTGGCTGCCCATCCCCAGCCCCTCCCAGGGCTGTCACCAGGAGGGGGTGTAGAGCCTGATTGACATTTCTGAAGTCTTGCAGCTTTTTGAAGACTGGGCCTCATGAAGACCTCAATCTTGCCTTGTAGCTGAGGATGACCTTGAACTCATCTGCCTGCCTCCACCTGCCAAGTGGGGCTAACACAGAGTTGCACCATGGTGTCCAGCCAGAAGTCTTCAGAAACAGGACTGCAGGCGACAGTTTTGCTGTATCTTTCTGAACCGAGGCACCTTTAAAAGCACTTCAACTGTCACCCACAAAGCCTAATTCCTTCTATGCTGAAAAGTATGTCATGGCTCTAGGCAACTCCAGAGGCAGATCTCCAGCACTGCTTCTATGCCCCCCACACACACCGGGGACTTTGATGGCCAGGAAAGTGGGTGACTCTGATGAGTAGGGGGTGAATGGGAGGCCAGCGGCTGAACTGAATTTCCAACTGAGCCTCCATTTCCAACTCAGTCACAAAGAACTGCCACATTCCCAGGACACAGCAGCTTAAAGCGCCGACTCCTCTTTCTCAGGTGAAAGCCCAGCTTGTCCGACTGGTAGATTAGAAAAGGATACGGGACTTGTCCCCACACTCTAAAGCCTTGTGAAGAGAAGACACAAAACCTGTTTGGTGACTTGTCACTTCAGAGAGAACAGAAACCTCTCCAGGCGAACATTCACCATCCTCCCCTTCCTCCTTCCATCCAGCAGCCTTGGCCGGAGACCAGGGTGAGGACAAGAGATCCAGAGACACAAGGCGGCTGCTCATCCAGACTGCGCCACTATTAGATGACAGAAGTTTGAGAACACAGTTAGGGCAAAACGAAGTTTATTAACCTTGCCAGGTCACACCAATGAAGTATCCAGAGAGAAACAATGCCTCATTGTACATGGATCAGCTAGGAAAACAGCTGTGTAGCAGAAACACATTTTTTTTGATAAGAGTAAATCGTTGTCATATTTATCTTCCCTTTTTTCCTCTTTAATACATGTTCAAGAGCTGATATCACCTACCACTAAAAGTTGCCACTAAATCCTGGGAAAGGTGCTATCGCCACGGCCAAAGCCCTGCGGGTTTGGGAAGAATGCACTTGCCTTTGTTTTGTTCTGAACTGATACTAGGGTTCCGTGGGCCTCGTTAATCAACTCCACCAAGCTCTTCCATGAAGGCTAGCCCTAATGAGGTCCTACCCTGCTCCCTGCTAGCAGTGTGTGCAAAGAATTCTAGTCAGAAATCTGCTTCTGTGGCCCTGCCTTCCTGTACGCCTCCTGAAGGCTGAGGGCTCCATGATCACCACTGTGCAGGGCAGGGGCCTTGGCATGTCTGGTGGGTAGCATCCCCTAGTGTGACTCTGCCCTTTCTCCTCAGGCAGCATTACAAGAGGATGTAACTTAGTGAGGAAACAGCGAAGCGTCTGCCTGTTTTGTGAGGCTGAGCACACACACCAGGGAGAGTGCAGATATGGCAGAGAGGGGGCAAGAACCGGGCAGATGCTTCTCCCAGGCACTGCTAGGTAGGGCTGTGGCTGCGAGACTCTGGGTAAAGAACCATCAGCGGAGGAAAGGAGGAATTGTTTTGTTTTTCTGACTTTTACATAGTATGATAAGAGTTTCCTAAAAATGAAGAGCCGTTTATAAATGCCACCTGAGGGGAAACCGGGAACTTCGTATCTGCATTTTCTTTTCACTACAATCTTGCTTTGAAATATGGTCTTTCAGCACTAGGAACTAGATGTCATTTAAGAATGTCACATCACATAACAACTGCAAGGAAAATAATGCTTTTCAGACACACAGAAGGGCCATCACTCACAAAAATGGGGCTTTAATCATTAGGGCTTTGGACACAAGGAACATTTAAAGTAACAGTCAATATAATTATGGATTAAATAGAAAGAAAACATGAATAAACAGAAGAAAACTATATAACCCTTTAAAAGCAAATAATAACACATAATGTAATACAGTTATTTATAGGTAAGATAAAAATTTGTTTTTCAAAAATGCCATTGCAAGAATATATTAGTATACAGTCAGACTCATTCTATTCACAATAAAGTCCCATGAAAATCCTCAACAAAGGCTATCTGTAACAGCTGTATTGAGACCTTCAACTACTAAACACTGTGTATGGCATCTCACTTTGTCAAAGAGAAACCTCCTGGCTCCTGTCAGCAAATCAATCATAAGTAAGAACAAAATTAAAGGTACTTTTAAAAGTTTAAAGTCCTTATTTAAATTAAGATTAAAAAATGTTCGAGATGACTTCAGGAAAACGAAAGCTGGGCGAGTTGCTGGACCGTGGTTCTGAAGAAACAAAACATAATGATTCATAACTCACAAGGTAACAGTACTGTGAAAATGGCCTCTAACAGCCTTCAAAAGCTTGTTTCGAGTATGAGACTCAGTAATACTCGACTGGAAAAGAAACGGGCTCTGTAAAGGAGCGCCGAGGACTTGTGGGTGTGGCTATCAGGCCAGCCCTTCCCCATCTATTTTTAGAGGTTTGAGACTCCAGCCTTAAGTAGTTTTGATAATAACACTTGTGGCCACAACTCTGTAAGACAAAGTCTGGGAGAAAAGAAAACTTTTCACACTGCACAACTTGACTTCATAGTCTTCTTTTGAAGAGTCCTGAGATGTTGCTCATGAACATAACCAATCAGGTTGTACCCATCGGTCTACTAGCTACCTTGCAACACAAAACTGGTGAGGTGACAAAGAAGATTTTAATTTTTCTGTAAATGGAAAATGCTCTTAAGTAAAACCAGGAACCATCTTGCTTATTTGGAAGCAGGAAAAATTACTTTAATTGGGAACAGAACATACTGTTGAGGAAAAGGTACTTGGGGTTCATGTGTCCTTAGCTGACTTCCATAATAGGAAGAATTCTTAGTGCCCCATCACATGCTGAGGTTTGTATGTGTGTGAGACAGAAGGAAGTCCTCATATTCTGTAGTTAGATAATGGTGTCTTCAGAAGAAGATACTTGTATACTAATAAATGTGCATGCATACATGTTAGCATAGGTACATATATTTATACATAACACACTCACACACACACATCCCAGGGTAGCATGAGATTTGCTTTCTCAAAATTACCACCTTTTCCACTTTTCCACACTGGACCCCCTGTTTTACTCTCACAAAATTACAGTAACTTTTACTCTAAGCGATTCACTCAGATTTTCAGTTAAGAAAATGGGGCAAACCATATTGTGTCAAGAAACAAACCAGGATCGGTAGAGTACCCATCATCTTCCGCCCTTCAGAAACAAACACACAAGCAGCTAGACTTCAAAGTGTACATTGACACTAGAAAAAGTTAACAAGCATTTCTTTTTTATTTTCAAGGAAGGGGAATCCTGAACGTCAGGGCTACACTGGCTTTCAAGTCCTGTGCATGGGACAAGAGTCTAGATGAGAGATCCTAGACCAAGTCAAGTCAAGGCTGTCCTCACGTATGTCAGCCATAGGTCATCTGCATCCATGGAAGCCCACAGGTCCTAAAGGTTACTCTGTGACCCCAGGAAAGGAAGAGGGCAGCTCCGGGGTCTGGTCCTTGCTCCGTTGACCTCTGACTCCACGCTGCACTGGACACAAGGGATGGGGCAGATACATCTTCCCCGAACATCCAGCACCTCGTGCTGCCCAGCTCCCGTGCTTATAGAACCGGACACTCAGTGGGCATGCAAGGTCTACCCAGTCACTCCGGCAGTCCCACCCATGGCCCTCACAAGTTCTCCTTCAGCAGCCCAAGTTTGCGCAGGGCCTCACGTCGTGCTTCTTCGGTGGAGCCGCGGCCGGCGAACTGCACTGTGATGCCCTGTGGCCGGAAGCCCGCAGCCCGGGGGAGCGAGCCTGTGCGTTTGCGAGCGTCCTGGGGGCCATCCAGGCGCGGTTCGTACAGACTGCGGCTGGCGTTCTGGCGTGCCAGCTTGCCCGCTATAGCCGGGTCTGGCCGGAAGGTGATGGTCTTGCTGGTGGGGACGAAGACGCTGGGTTCGTTGCTGCGCAGGGCCTCGTGCACACTCTGGAAGCCGTTGACCAGCGGCGGCTGCTCCGTCTGCACAGCCCGGGACTGCTGCGCCCTGGCTGGGCCTCCTGTACGCGGTCCCCCGGGCTCCCCGGCCATGCCCACCCTGCCCTGGGCGCGTCCCCCGTCCGCAGAGCCGCCCCTCTGCTCCTCTGCCTTTTGCCACCGCTCTTCCGATGACTTGTCGCCCGCGGCGATGAAGGACATGCCATTGATGTTGGCCAGGACCTGGGCCTTCCGCTCCTGCACGTTGACAGCAGCCTTGGAGATGGTCTTGTTGAAGTCCTTCCCGGAGCTGTTGGTCACGCTTATGTTACTGGGGAAGCGGTGGATCTTGGGTGCTGGCTGGGTCGTGTGTCGGTGCCACACGCCAACCTGGTCCCCATTTCGAGAGGCTACAGAAGTCGACGTCCTCCATTCCCCAGGCCTGCCCTCCTTCGATGGGGAGGTGGGGGACAGGGCTTCGTTTCCGGACAACTTCTCAGAAATTTTCTGAGCAATCACCAGAGGAGTGGGCACCGAGCGGGGTAGTTTGGGATGCTCTGCTGGAGGAGAGGGGGGGTATCAGATCCTTTCGGGGGGCAGAGGGTGCAGAGACAGGCAGGGAGGGCAGCAGAGGAAACGCCTCGGGATCGCTGGAGTCTGGTGGAGGCAGGGAATTCTCAGCGGCTTGCTTCCCACCTTCAGGAACAGTTGTGCCCTGCTTTGTAGCAGATGGGGCCCCTGAAAAAAAAGAGACCTCATAAGTTTTCACCCCAATAAGAATAGACACGTGGTTTTCCTGCCAACCGAACTTCAGAGAGTCACAATGGGACACACTACCAACTCTACAATGCCTAATCAAAATGCTGGTCCTGGTACCCGGACTGGTGAGAAAGAAGGCAGTGCATTTATTCTCAGGGCCACACACTGAGAACCAAAGATTCCTGAGAGGGCGGTGACGATTTAGAGCCAGAAACAGCCAGTTAGAAAGCAGTCTGGAAAGGTATACTCCTCATGCTCTGTCATGCTGAGGGCACTTGACAGAAGGCAAGCAGTGACCACCTCATCAGGGGTCTTTACAAAGGAGACAGAGTGGAGGATGGGGATGCTCATCTTGAATCCCAGCACTCAGGAGGTCAAGGAAGGTGGATCTCTGTGAGTTCAAGGCCAGCCTGGTTTACACTGTGAGTTCCAGGACAACCAAATCTACATAAAGAGTCCCTATTTGAAAAAACAAAAAAGATAAAAAAAATATAGTAGGTTAGAGAATCACTGGGCACACATGCTGAATTTTCCAAGCCCATTTTCTTTGGTGTGATTATATGATCTAATCTTTTTAAAGGATCAGCTGGTTCAAATTACTTTAGGAACTATGCTTCAAAGCAGAAGTGTTTAAAAAAAATGCAGGGGCTGGAGAGATGGCTCAGAGGTTAAAAGCACTGATTGCTCTTCCAGAGGTCCTGAGTTCAATTCCTAGCAACCACATGATGACTTACAACCATCTATAATGAGACCTGGTGCCCTCTTCTGACATGCAGGCAGAACAGTGTGTACATAATAAATATTCTTTAAAATGCAAAATTTAATGTCTCTTCCCTCAAGGGTTTGCTGCAACCATTCTCTTTTTGTATGGAATTCATGACTACAGGATGTCAATTCTGGGAATGCAGAAACCAAATGTCAAAAGAAACCATACTTAAGCTAAGAATGGTGGCATACACTGTAACCCCGGCACTTGAGAGGCAGAGACAAGGGAACTGAGTTTGAGGTCAGGCTGTGCTAGCACCAGGCCAGCTGGAGATCCTTGTCTCACAAAGATGCCTCCACTCCCAGAAACTTATGACAAACACTGGTGTTTATAGTCTGCGGGGCACAAATGTCTTTTCTCTAATTCTTTCTTCTCCTGTCTAGTCCTAAATATCTCCATTTGTTTTTTAATGTCATTTCCCACCAGCAAATAGAGGGCCGTAAGAAGCTTTCCACTGACTCAATGGGCAGAAGTGTACCTCTTCATTGATGCTGTTCAGTGATGCAGAGCGGACCATGGCAGTGTGGACCTGCATCTTGTCTGCTCTGTGCTGTACTTCACAGAGCCATGTGTTAGAAATGGGACATGATTTGCAGCACAAATCAAGTGCCCTGTGACACCTAACCACACACACACACACACACACACACACACACACACACACACATCTATATGCTCATTTGGTCTCTCCTTTCTCTCTCTTTCCTTTCAGTTGGTCTTCTTTGCTACCTGTTTTTGGAGTTCCTTGCTGGAGAGACTATCAAGAGGCTGAGACTCCCTTCTAGAAGCTTCTATATTGACAAGCATAAGCAAACAGAGTAGAAAAGTGCTGGTGTGCCTTGGGTGCACCACCAAGCACAGTCAAAGGCACGGGGTCCTGTGTGTACCTGCTACTTGAGGCACATCTGCAAGGCTCTCAGCTTCCTTAGACACAGGTCCTGGTTGTACTAAATCGATGACATCTTCCGGTTCAGAGTGACTGGAAGGGCTCTCTTGCAGAGACTGTGGAGAGTGGCAATGGATGCCACTGTCACACAGGGCTGGCTCATCAAAGTCATATTCCAGGGAATCGAGGGTCTCTTCAAAGAACAGGATGACGTCCTTTTCCTCGTGTGTGAGGTGCTTCAGGCTCTCGTCATCCTGTAAGTGGGTCAGAAAGAGATGATGTCAGCAAAGAGAAAGAGTCACAAAGAGTAGGAGGCAAAACCTTGCCTAGCGAAGACTTTTCTGTGTCCTGGAAGATCCCTGCCATTTGGGTCACCCCGCTGACAAAAGACCTGTAAGTCCCTCACCATTTTACCTGCACGGAAAAAAAGATATTGACAAACCCAAGGCCTTCACCCTATCATGAGGTTCAGATGTGGTTACCAGTGAGCCAGCACAATAGAGGAAGTCTCCTCCAGGAGTTGTATGCCAGGCATGCTATTGTCTCCATACTGCCAAGGGAGACTTCTCAGTAAGCATCAGATTGAACTCACCATTTATCTCCCCTTCCTTCAGAAATGCTGCTAAGACAATAAGCGATCTTACTAATGGTTAATTATCTTATGTCTATGATATGAGTATTTTGCCTGCAGATATGTCTGTGCCGTGTGTGTGTGCCTGGTGCCTACAGAAGCCAGAAGAGGGTGCTGGATTTCTTGGGACTAGAGGTACAGAGGGCTGTAGGCTGCCATGTGGGTGGTGCTGGGAATCTAACCCAGGTCCTCTGCAAGAACAACAAAATGTTGAACCATCTCTCCAGCCTGAGACCTTATTGATTTCCTTAACCAGGCCTAAATCACAAAGATAAAAATAACAGGGAAAGAAGCGATGCCAGCAAATGGAAGTCAGAAAAGAAGGAAGGTGGTGATGAGCCAAGGCTGCAATTTGCATCAGTGCCGGGAAAGCCTACAGTCAACCTGCTGGGTACTGCGTGACCTGAACTGAGCCCAGCCAGGAATACAGCGAAGGTGAGGCTTGATGGGCACAGCTGGCTGGAATCATCCTCAGAAGCAACTGGGTCATCCCTGCAGAAAGCGAAGAGTTTATCCTTAAGGGAGTCTGCAGTGGAGACAGGGTAGCTGCATTGATGGGGAGGAACTGTACAGAAAGTGGAGGGGGCGCCACAAGGCCAAATGGATTCCCCAGATAGACCGAGCACTGTAAGGGCCATTGGCAGGGAGAGAAAAGGGTTTGAGAGTCCAGAAAGGGTTCTTCCAAGGTAGCTGCTCAGTAGCACTAGTTCATAGGTGGAGGCCAGTCAACACTTCTCACATGAGAATTCCAACCAGGGGCTGAAGATGACTCACTGGCAAAGGGAACACATTCTTTCAGAGGATTGGAATTCAGTTCCCAGCACCTATGCTGGGCAGCTCACAACTGCCTGTCACTCCAACTTCAGATCTGATGCTCTCTTCTCGACTCAGCAGACACTGCCCCCATGTACACATAATTAAGAATTAAAAAATAATAAAAAAGAAATCTCAGTCCACATTTTCTAGACAGTCTTGAGAGCTAAAGGTATGAGTGTAGTGACAACGGGAAGAGAAGGGATGGGTCTCTGAGTTATTTGAAAGCAGAATCCGTTCCTGCTGTGACATTCTTTTGCACTATAGATGCTGAACACCCAGGCTTTTCACCTCCATTAGACTCTACACTTAAGACTCACATTGTAGGGGCTGGAGAGCACTGGCTGTTCTTCCAGAGGACCCAGGTTCAATTCTCAGCACACACATGGCAGCTCACAGATGTCTGTAACTCCAGTTCCAGGACATGGGACACCCTCACACAGACATACATACAAGCAAAACACCAATGAATAAAAAATAAAAATAAGATACATACACACATACATACACACACACACACACACACACATATGAATCACATTGGCTATATCAAGGCTTGCAGGTTTTCTCACGTCCCACAGATGCCTCCTTACCATGTACATCTATTCTGACCTTTTGATGCCTAGAACAGCAATACTCATACATATGCACATATATGTACATATACACACACTGGCGGGGGCATCTGAGTGTCATACACACACAGGCGGGTCATCTGAGTGTCATAAAGTATGGCCTTCCTGTCTAATCTCTTCACCACATTCCTTATTTCTGTTGGACTGCCTGGCTCCCACATCCTATAAATGCTGCCCCCAGTCACTGCATGACAGTTCTCAGTCTTCTATCTAAAGTTGTCTCTTTTTCTTTTCTTTGAGACAGGGTCTTCCTTTGTAGTTCTCCTGGAACTTGCTATGTAGACCAAGCTGGCCTTGAACTCACAAAGATCCTCCGGCCTCTGCCTCCCAAGTGCTAGAATTAAAGGCATGTGCCACCAGGCCCAGCTCATTTATTGTTTCGACACAAGCCCTGCAAGTCTAAAGTCATTGGGACTCTTGGCATAACAAAGATCCCTCTAGTTAAGTTTCACCCACTGTGGATTTTGTCCAGGAGACCCGATGGAGATAACAACCATTACACAAATGTTGACCTCCACTGCTGAGACATGAAATCTAGAGAAATACATTGTGCTCTCTCCCCAACTGTGATCTTATGTGGGGCACTTCAGTGGATGCGTGACGTTTCAAAGGTTTTTATTTTTAATTACGTGTATATGTGTGTAGGGAGGTAAGTATGGACATGGTGCAGTGCCCATGGAGGCCAGAAGAGGAAAAATGCCCTCAAGCTGTAGTGACAGTGGCTAAGAGCTACCCAGTGTGAGTGCTGACAACGCATGTCCATCCCATCCTCTCCACAGGAAGAATATGCACTTAGAACCACGAGTTATCTCTCCAGCCCTGAGCATCACTTTTGGAGTCTATTTTGGTTAGGTATCATCATTCTCCTTGGCTATGTAGCAGAACTGAAATTGCACTAGCCTGGCTGAGGGTCCAGCTCAATGACAGAAAGCTTGCCTAGGGTGGGCCCTGTATTCATTCCATCCTCAGTACTACAGAATGGACATGGCATAAAAATTACGTAAAAATTTCAAAAAGCGAGGTCCTAAAATGGACCTTCAGTTTAAGACACATTCCAATTTCCCACAAGAGGAGCACGTAAGCACGGACTAGAAGTGGGCTGGGGAGACAGCTCAGTGGCTGCGAGCACTTGTTCCTGGGTTTTTATTCCCAGAACTCACGTGCTGGCTCACAGCCACTTGTAGCTCCAGTTCCAGGGGATCCGGTTCCTCCTGCTGACCTCCACCAGCACCAGGCGCATATGTGGTGTACATACACACGCAGGTAAACACTCATATACGTTAAAGAACAAACGATGGACCATGTCTAACCCAGCCTGACGGCAAGCAGTCCTAACATGAGGCTGCATCTGAAAACAGGCTGAGGACGGTGCCGCCCACATGACTGTTCACACCTGTACACTGCGGAAAGGCTTGGCCTGGCTTTCCAAGGGTCTCACCACTGCTGCACCAAGGGCCCGAGCCTGCTAGAACTCAGTCCTCTGCTTGCCTTCTGCTTCACCCTTTCTAATCCTAGCCTACCTAGCAAGTACCGACAGATCTTGCAGAGATGCCTGCGCGAGTCTTGTGCAATTTACCCGGGGATTCTTCAGTTCTCTTCCTTTCACTAATTACACAATGTGAGATAAAATCAGCTCCGGCCAGTCTGCTCAGAGACAAGACCCCCAGGTCACTCAGGTCCTCAACCCAAGGGCTTTCTCTCCAGTGTGGGGCTGGGTGGATGGCATGCTTTCTTTGCAATCAGCCTGGCCCGGAATCCTGGATTGTGGAACGGTCAAACCTGCTGTGGGTTCAGTGTGTGGCCCAACTTCCAAGACTTGAAGCTTTCTCCCAGTGAACATGGACTCCACATACCTGGGAGAGGAAAGACATTGGGGCTAGGCAGGGGAGCGAGGTACACCAGGGCCAGGAAAAGGGGCACTTGGCACCCCGCCAAGACGGTTCCTGTCTGCTCCTCCCATTCTGGAGGGATGATCAACACCGCCTCTGCTAGGGTTGTAAATGAAAGGCATTCTTGGTCCTGAGGGAGAGGCTGGGCAGTAAGAGGTGTGGCAGCGAGACACATCCAGAGTGAGAAAGAAGCTATGGCCCAGGGAGTAGAGAAGCAATGGAACGTGACTGAGAATGGGCAAAGGCTTTCTTTAGGGGAGATGAAATGTTATAGAACTGACTATGGTGATTTCTGTACACACAGAGAAACCATTTATTTTAACTGACACACAAAACATAAAAACTGTGTACGTTTATGGGGTAAACCCATGTAATATCAAATTAGGCCAGATAGACCTATTTCTTTAAACATTTTTCACTATGGTGCAAGCTTTTAAAACTTTTTCTTCTAGGTTTTCAAGTACAGTGCACAACAGAGCATGTTTCTAGCCAACTATAACTTAGCAGCACCCATCAGTCTCTTCCCCACTGCTATCCTCCTCAGCTTCTGGGGACTATCATTCTGCCTGCAACTTCCGTGAGATCAACCTTTTTTCAAGAACTGTTTTCCTTTTCTTTTACTGTACGTATATGGGTGTCTTGCCTGCATTAAGTATGTCTGTGTACCATGTACACGTCTGGTGTTCACGGACGCCAGAAGAAGGTGTTGGATCCTTTGGGACTAGAGTTACATACGGTTGCAAGCTGCTATGTGGGTTCTGGGACCCAAGCTTGGATCCCCTGCAAGAGGAGCCAAGTATTCTTAACTGCTAAGCCATCTTTCCAGGCCCAACACCAAGTCTTTAAGATTCTGGATGTGGCACTGGGTGTTCTGAGCCTGGCTTATTTTACTAAACACAATGACCTGCAACTAGTTCCATCCATGTTGTTGCAGATGCCAGGATTTTATCTTTGTTGTGGCTGCGTAGCATTCCATTGTGCACATGTAGCATATTTTCTTTACTCACAAATTGGATGATGGGCACTTAGGTTGTTCCAATGTCTTTTTGGGTGTGTATTTGGAGACAGGCTCTCATTATGTATCCCAGGTTTGAATTCACTCTGTTACCCAGGTTGACCTCAAACTCAAGATCTTTGCCTCTACCTCAAGACCTGGGGTCAGAGGCATGTAACTCCATGCCTGGCTCTTGCATTTCTTAGTAACTGTGAATAGTGCCACCATTACCTTGAAAACGAAGAATTTCTTTGACATACTGAAAACTGGGTCATATAACAGCTCTAAACTCCCTCCTGTTTTTTATTGTAGCAGTACTAATCACCCCCCCCCACACTAACAGTGTCCAAGGCTCCCTTTTCCCTACTCCAGCACAAGCAATTGATGTTTTTAGTCTTTCTGACAATAACCATTCTTCCTGAGGTGAGGTGCTATCTCATTGTGTTTTTTATTTGCATTTCCCTGATGATTAATGGTGTTGAACTCTCCCGTCCAATACATCAATTTAGGGCTATTGTTCATTTTTCAATTGGATTTTTTTTTTTTGCTGAGCTTCTGATTCCTTATGTACTGTTACTATCAACCTCTTCACAGAAGAATAATTTGCAGATATTTTCCAGACTTTGTAGGTTGTTCCTTCACTCTGTTGATTATGTCAAGTTGATTTTTATAACTAATGAGAGATTGGGTTCATGTCAACCTGCAGGTAGACATCCAATTTCCCGGTACCACTGACTTGAATGCCTGTACTTTCTTCAGTGTGTGTGTTTGGAACACGTTTGCTGAAAGTCAGCTGACATGTCTGTAGGTTTAATTCTGGGCTCTCTACTATATTCCACTGGTCTGTGTGTCTATATCTATGTCAATACTATGTTGATTTGTGCATGCGTGTTTGTATGGAGCTATCAATTAAACCTAAGACCTTGCATATATGAGAGAAGTCATGTGTCACCAAGCTGTACCCCCATCTGCTACTAGGCTGTTTGATTATAACTCTGCAGTAGACTTTAAAAATAATGTGTATGAGTATTTTTGCCTACATGATATCTGTGCACCACCTGCACACAGTGCCCATGGATGGCAGAAAAGGGTGTTATATCTGAACTAGAGTTATGGGTGGTTGTGAGCTATCATTTGGGTGCTGCAACCAAACGTGAACCCTCTGCAAAAGCAGTCAGTGCTCTTAACCCCCAAGTTGCCTCTCAAGTCACTCAGTTCTGTGGTAAACTCTGGAGACAGGCAATTTAACAGCTTCTGTTTATTCTCAAGACAGCTTTGACTATTTGGTATTTTTGTTGTTGTTTCATATGCATTTTGGATTGTTTTTCAAGCTGTGTGAGGAATTTCATGGGTGCTTTGCCTGGGACTGCATTGAACTGAATATATAGATGGTTTTGAGTGGACTGGCCACTGGGGTAGGATAAAAGTGTTCTAAAAATGACAGGTGATGACTGCACAGGCCTGTAAACACAGTAAAAATGGTTAAGTGGCACACTGTGAATATGAGTTATATTTCAACTTTTAAAAACCACCCACATGGCCGGGCGTTGGTGGCACACACTTTTAGTCCCAGCACTCGGGAGGCAGAGGCAGGTGGATCTCTGTGAGTCTGAGGCCAGGCTGGACCGATAGCCTCCAAAACAATACAGAGAAACCCTGTCTCGTAAAAACCAAAAAAAAAAAAAAAAAAAAAAAACCACCCACATGAAGGGGGCAGTAAGACTCCACAGAGGCTCCTTGTGGAGTGGCTGGTTAGGAAGTGGTTTGTGATAATCACTTAGGAAATGAAGACAAATATACATGTCCTAGTTACTGGGACAGAGTGAGCTATAAAAAGTCAGTTTGTCTGCATTAATTAGGAAGGTTGTACGCTGACAGGAGAATGTTTTAATTAAGTCCCATAGATGTTATTTTTAATGTACCAATAATCTTCAGATGCTAAAAACACTGTCTAGAAAACCATCTCACATATTCTAAGCCCAGTACACTAACTTCAGGTAAGGTTTACAAGTCTCTGGGGGAAACATCTGAAGAATGCACAAAGGAACCGGAAAGTCAAAGGACAGAAAATACATATTGTAAGAATGAGGACGACCAAACCTGGTGTTGTGGCCCTCACCTGGGATGCCCCTCTCGGGTAGAAGTAGAAGGATCCTTGCAAGTTTGACAGTAGCTTGGGCTACATGCAGTTGTTTCCATGCCAGCCTGGACTGCATAGCAAGGCTCATTCACAGACAGGCAAGTGGGCAAGCAGAGGTGACTAAACAGATATTTTGAAAGGAGACCTGGACCAGGACTCTTCACTACTCCTCCCCCAGGTAGCAAGCAAGGATATTTTGTCTTGATGGAGTATGCTTTAATGATCACGTATCCTGGTTTTTTTCGGTTTTGTTTTGTTTTTTCTCTCTCCAAGATTTGTTTTTATTCTGTATGTATGGGTGTTTTACCAGCATGTAGATAGGCACACCACATGCCTAGTGCCTAGGCGGTCAGAAGAGGGCATCGGATCCCCTAGAACTGGAGTTACAAACAGCTGTGAGCAGCCATGTTGGTGCCGGGAATGAACCTGGGTCCTCTGGAAGAGCAGCCAGAGCTCTTGGTTGCTGAGCCATCCATCTCTCCAGTCAGATTACATGTCCTCAAAGACACCAAAGACCTGCCTGACATTTGAGCAATGCTTTACTGATTTAATTATGTAAGCTGATGCCAACACGGAATAAAGGCAGGGAGAAGGCTCTCAGCTTAAATGTTGTGATGTCTCTCTCTGGCAGTCTGGGCAGAGCCGCCGTAAGTGCACATGGCACTTCCTTACGGCAGAACAAGGGCTTAATTATGCTTATTTCCAACTAGACACTGTTGTAATTTTTTTTTTTTTGCTGTGGCTAAACTTCAACCTGTACTTCTGAAGTTAAGAAAGGGACACAAACAAATCAGCAGAGAATGAGGTCTGTGTACAGTTTTGATTATAGAACTCAAGAAGAATGGCTTCAAAGGCTTGCAGCTGGGCTCAGTGGCTTTAAGCTTCTTTAAACTGGCAATAGAGCCCTTGATCTCTTGTCTGTCTGATGTTCAGACAGCCTTATAAGCTGTGCCACACCACCCTAGCTCTCATCCCTGATGTGATCTTGAATAAAACCACATTTTATTCAGTTCTTGTACACAGCGGGTATTTACTAATGTTTAATGGATTAAACAGCTCTTTGGCTATGTCTTCAAATAGTTTCTGGTCTGGTGTGGGGAAGAAGCCAGCCCTGGGTCACTTACCAACTGGTCTGCACATCTTTTTTACCTCTTGAAATCCCAGAGCAAATGATTAATCAAAATCCTAGGACATTGTGTGTACTTGTATCTAACCCCACTATGAGAAGAGCAGTCCCACACTCCACAGTCCTACCTCCTCCACTCTGTGACTAAGGGATGTGTAAGAGGGTATCACAATACTATCTAATCCAGACGTTCTGGGACTCTGGGACATAAAGTCCAACAGCTCTGAGAGTTTGGGTGGGGGCAGGATTCATGAGAGTTCACTGTGTATTAGATTTTAAAACTTTGCTAAAGAATCTGGACCTCTGTTTTCAGCCAAGTCATAGGTATCAATGATTAGGGAATATTGTGGGGTGTCCCCAACCCTCAAAGAGTGGGCACAGATTAGGATTAAGTTCCTTAGGATTTAACCCTATGAAGACCTCTCTTCTTTCCAACAACCCAAAGTTCCATTGTTTCCTAGAGGCTGTTCCGATGTACCCTCGGGTAGATTAGGCTGCAGGAACACATTAAGAATAAGAACTCAAGAGAGTCCCAGGACAGCCAAGGCTACACAGAGAAACCCTGGGGTTGGGGAAGAATAAAACTCAAGACTCTTAGTGTGGTTCTGCTCCTGGAGTAGACATAGGACATTCTATGAAATGGCATGACAACTGTGACACCCAAGTCAGGAGGTTGACAACAGGTGGTGTACCATCCCAGGATTGGGTACAGCAGGAAGGATTTATTAAAAAAAAAAAAAAAAAACACCTTCAAAAGACCTAACGTTCTTGGATTGGTTAGTGCCATGTAAGGATCTGGATCAGAAAGACTGGGCTTTGTAAAGGCCTTCAGTGTGAAAGTGAGCTGTCTTTATCCTGCCAGATGGCTCCCATTGCCCACGGCCGGGTGGTCAGTGACTTCAGGCATGGTCCTTGTCCTTTGGGGAGCTAAGCTGTCCTAAGTTACTATCTGTGACCAGATATTCGCTCCACTGCCATGTGCAAAATTTAATATGATTAAAACTGAGACATCCAACAGGGCTTTGTAAGCTGTTCCGAATGGGGTGAAGGGCTGAGGCCAAATCAATCAACCAGAGCATCTAAAAGTTCTAAAGAAAGCAACATTCACTGCAGTGACATTTTTTTGTGCTCTAACAAATAAAGCTTTCCTGAAGATCAGAGGGCAGAGCTAGCCACCACTTAACCATACAGGTCTGGAGGTCTGCAGAGACAGACAGGAAGTGATATGGCTGGGCAGAGAGAGGGGTATAAGGTAGGAAGAGGTAAGAGCTTGCTCTCTTTTTGGCTGGGAGGTTGGCGATGTAAGGTGTGGCTGTGGCTTGCTCCTTTGTTTCTCTGTCTTTCGCACTTACCCCTGCATCTGACTTGGGTTTTTATTACTTAGGCCAATTAGAACTCATGCAACCACTCACCAGGGTGAAGCTTCTGGACCGAGAGCTGCTGCTCCGGCTCTCCAGACTGCCACCTCTGCTCAAGTCACTGAGCCTGCAGCTTGGTGACATGTCAGAGTCCATCTCCAAAGACTCTGATTGCTGCTGGTTCCCAGGCATCCCCAACAGGAAGCTGTCACTGGCTGGTTCACAGAAATCAGGGTAGGAGCCAGGGTCCCATCCTGAGGCAGGGGAGGTCTTCTAGGGAAATCAAACACACAGCAGCAGTTAGTGACTGAGAAGTGCCCAGCTGCTCCAAAGTGGAAGGGGAGCCCCTTCCTCACGGACTGGAAGAATTAACACTGTGGAAATGACTGTCTTACCAAAATAATCTACAGAGTCAATACAATCTCATCAAAATTCCAATTCTGTTTCTTTTTACAGAAATAGAAAAAATAATATTAAATTGCACCCTAAAACCACAAAATACCTCAGATAAGCAAAGGAGGGTATGCTGGGCCTAGGGAAATGGCTCAGTGGGTAAGAGAGCCTGCAGGACAAGCCGAGGACCTAGGTTTTAATCCCTAGCACTAAGTAAAAAGCCAGGCACTTGTAACCCTAGTGCTGTGTGTGTGTGTGTGTGTGTGTGTGTGTGTGTGTGTGTGTGTGTGTGTGTGTGTGTAGGGGGACAGGGACAGGTGATCACTGGGGCTTGGTAGCCCAGGTTGAGTAAGAATCTTGTCTTAAAGATGGAGGAATAGAGAAGGACACCCAGTGTCTTCTGACCTCTACACATACACATAATCCATCCCCACAATTAATAATGCCAAATAATGTTTCTAAATTATGTTACAGAGTGGTAGTAACAAAACGGACATGACATGGACACAAAAACAGATATGTAGATTAATGGGACAGAATGTAAGATCCAAACATAAACCCTGTGATTCTTGACAAAGATGACAAATATATATATATATAATTCTATATATAAAAATATAACTAGATCATTCTCACCCTGCATAACCCCAAGTGGATCAGATACCTTAATGTAAGACTTAAAACTTTGAAACTGAGAGGAAAACATTTTAAGATACAGAATAGGTTAAAAACTTGTGAACAAGATTCTAGTTGACATATGGGATCTCAGGAAATCACAAACCTGTTCAGCAAAGAAAACAGATAATCGGGTGCAGAAAGTCTACAGAATTTGAGATGATCAAAGCTACACATCTGACAGGATTAACAGCTAGAAAATTAACTCAAAAAACTACACAGACTGCGCATAGTGGCACACACTTTTAATCCCGCACTCCAGAGGCAGCGGCAGGTGATCTCTATGAGTTTGAGGTCAGCCTGGTCTACACAGAAGTTCCAGGTCAGTCAAAAAGCCAAACCAACAGACCAAAACAAACAAACAAACCAACAAACCTACCCAAAACTAAACCAAACAATCTACCCAATCAAAAAAATGAGCTATGTAACTTTACAGAAGAAGAAATACAAATGGCCAATAAATATTTTTAGACATATTCAATAGCCTAAGCCATCAAGAGAACGAAAACTAAATTGAGAGCCTACCTCAGCCTAGTCAGAATAGCAGTCATCAAAAAAGAAAATGAGAACAAATGCTGGCAAGGATGTAGAGAAAGAGGCCCCTTATCTACTGTAGGTGGGAGTGTAAACTCACTGTGGGAATCAGTATAGAGGGTTCTCAAAAATCTGAAAACAGAACTACTGTATGACCCAGATGGACCACTTCCAGGCAAACACCCAAAGGATTTACATCCTGCTGCAGAGAAACTTACACACTGCTGATAGTTACTGCTGATCCCGTCACATGGCTAGGAAATGGAACCAGCCTATATGTCCGCATACACATGAATAGATAATGAAAATATGGTACACATACACAAGACATAAAAACATACGGATATTTTTGAGATAGGGTTGTACTATGCAGCCCTGGTTGGCCCGAAGCTTGCTATGTAGACCAGGCTGGTCTCAAACTCACAGAGATCCATCTATCCTCTGTCCCCTGAGTGCCGGAACTAAGGGCATGTGCCACCATGTCTGACTAATTTTTATAAAGGAATGGAAGCATTGCAAATGACACCATTGGTGGGAACTTGGTAAAATAACTCTGGCATCTTCCTTTGCACTGAGAATCTGTTTGTACTTTCTTCCTCAGGCTTTCCTGGCTTTTTTGCCTTGGCCACCAAGACACAGGTTCCTTCTCCAGGTCACTGCACTTCAAAGTTAAGACGCAGTGACAATGACTACGATGTTGGGAAGCATGGTTGGTATCTCTAAGACCATTGGACCTGAGTCTCAATGACATTGCAAGTTCTACAGAAAGTGAAAAGTATTTTAAGTTGACCCTATCAAGAACGTCATGTGGCTAGTACTTCCAGGAACAAAGGCATCCATGGTTAAGAGCATTTATTGCTCTTCCACAGAAACTAGGTTTGGTTCCTGGGACCTATATCAGGTGGCTCACAACTGGTTTAATTCTAGTTCCGGAGGATACAGTGACCTCTGTCTCCGTAAGCACTTGCACACATAAACACAGACACATGTGCACATAAACACAGACACAGATACACAGATAAATAAAAGAAAATCTTTTTAAAAAAGTGTCCCTTGTGAACACATGAACACACACACACACACTTTTTTTTAAGTGCCAACCTGGCATGGTGCTGTACATCTTTAATTGTAGCACTTAGGAGACAGAATCAGGTGGATCTCCGAGTTCAAGGTCAGTTTGGTCTATAGACTGAGTTCCAGGACAGCCAGGGCTACACAGAGAAACCCTATCATGAAAAGCAAAAATCAAAACAACAACAACAAAAAAAGGGTGCCCTTTGTAAGCTAAGTTAGTTCACCTTCTGACCTTCTTAGCAAAAACCAAACCCAGCACCATAAACACCAACTGAGTTCAATAAAATAGTGTAGAAGAGCAAAGAGCCAATAAAAATACACCTCTAGTTGATGACTTAACAGCCATTTGTGGAGAAAGTCCAATCAATATTGACACCTGCCAGGGGATTCTCTCAGTCGGTGAGCCTGAGAGCAAGCCTCTCTATAAGAACAGATTTAAAGAGATATTGTCTACCCCAGTATCTCAGTGGTTAAGCCCAGGTCAATTCAAGAGCAAGGTTTGGAAACCGGAAGACTCTGAACACACAACGCCTTTTAGAATATACCATTACTCCAAATAGTGTGAAAGCAACTCAAAGTGTTACAAGTCTAAAGCTGAGTATGTTGACACATCCTGTGTGTGTGGGTCTGTGTGTAAGTGCGCGCGCAGAAGATCACAAGTGAAAGCCAGCTTAAACTATCTAACAAGACCCTGTCTCAAAACAAAAACAACAAAACTAGATGTGATGGCTCATGCCTGTAGTCCCAGCACTTGGAAGGCAGAGAGAATCAGAAGTTCAAGGCCTCAGGTACATAGTGACTTCAAGGCCAGCCTGGATTGTATGAGAACCTGTCAAAAAACCTAGCCAAGAGCCAGGCATGGAGGTGCATGCCTTTAATCCCAACACTCAGGAGACAGAGGCAGCAGATCTTTGTGAGGTCGAGGCCAGCCTAGTCTACACAGTAAGTTCTAGGTCAGCCAGGGCTGTTACACAGAAAAACCCTGTCTTGAAACAACAACAAAAAACAAAACAAAAACAGAAAAAAAAAACTAACCAAACCATTACCATAACAGAAGTAAGGTTTTGAAAACCATTTAATAACACGTGACTTTAAACAGTAACACAATTATATAAATATCTAAATGGCTAACAGCATATAAGTCAGGCTCTAATTTATTTAGCCTCAAAAATCAAACATCCTGCATGCATCTAGTATAAACACATACTGCGGACTCTACCATGAAGGCTGACAGCAGGGGCCAGTGCAAGCAGCAAAGCCCAGCAAAGGCAGATACATGCTCCTAGACCCTGGATGGGCTGGAGTCAGGCTAAGTAAGCCAGCCCAGGCGGCGAAGGCAGGCTAATTCCTGCATCCTTCCTGTGGATCCCACCCACTGACTCAGCTCACATTGGGTCCTGACCTGAGTGAATCACAGCTCCAAGGAAAGGGGAGGGGATGGAGTCCACCAGCCTTCTCCAGGAGTCAGCAAGGTGAGGGCGGGCAAGGAAGTGCTGACTCACCCACACAGCAGCCTGTGGGAAGGCTCTGGACCTGTGCCCGCCTGGGCAGCGAGGGTAGCACAAGAGCCCTCACGGTGTGGCCGGAGGGTAGTGGCTTACCATGCTTTCCCAGCAGACACCTTGTGTATGTGCAGCTACAATTTTAAAAGCGAAGAGAGTGTAACATTTAGATTTATGCTGTTCTCCCAAAAGTGTTGGGGAAGCTAAGCAGAGTCTCCCACAAGGCCAAGGTGGCAGAAGAGAAGGCCAAAGCTTGGGTGTACATTCCTCACAGCTGCAAGACATTCATGGCTGATTTCTAAAAGAACTGAGAATGGCAGGCTCCCCAGGAACTGAAGCCCACTGTGAAGGGCAGGTTTTCTGAAGGGCTGAGTCAAGGCAGCCTCCATCTACCCTGGATGTGGGCCCTGGAGTCAGAGCAGACAGGCCAGGCAGAACTAACCATGGGCCTGTGAGGGTCATTACCACTTTGAAATATCTACTGTCCTTGTCCAATCTAGATTCTCTCTGGGCTTACAAGAGGTACGAACTACAGTAAGCCAGGCTAGGGTCAGCGGAAGGCATCCAGAAACTGACTCTTCTTGGGCAGAGAAGGCTTCAATAGAAACTCAAAGCCTCTGCTTCACAGTCAGAAACACAACTGTGTCTCCTATTTTTATGTTTCCCGTGTTTATTTCCATTACTTACTAGGAGCAACCCCAACCCCCCAGCAAAGTGAACAAGGCCAAGGCCATTCATCATCATACTGTGTCTGTATCTGCCCGGAGTTGTTTATTCATGAGGACAGCAGCCAACTGAGGGGACAGTCCAACAGCAGCTATTGAGCTATGACTGTAAGGAGGCAAGTGACCCCCCCCCCCGCAGGGAGTTTGCAGGAGCCAGAAGAAAAAGGCCCCTCATATTCTTACTGGGACATTCCAGAAAGACCTAGCATGGCCTAGAGGGTATGCCTACAACTTTCCTTCCACCACCACCCTCACTGTTTGTCAATACAGCCAGCAGACATACAGAACATCACAAGTCAGTGTGTCCCACCATTGCTCACCTGAAAGCTGTGGAGTTTGTGGGATCCCAAAGCTGACCTATGCCACTCAA